ATACATACAAAAAACCGCGTTTTTATAACAAAATCGGGCACTTATGCATTTTTTACGCATGCCTTTTGGGTTGTGTGGGGCCCCATCAACATTCCAGAGAGCTATGGACATTGTTCTAAAGCCTGTCCTAGGAAAATCAACTTTAATTTATCTAGATGATATAATTATAACGAGTAGTACGTTGGAACAACACATTAATGATCTAGAACAAGTTTTTAAATTATTAAAAGAGGCCGGTCTTACAATTAACGCCTCAAAATGCAAGTTCGCAACTAAAGAACTTAAATATCTCGGTTATAAAATTTCGCAAAAGGGTATAGAAACGCAAGATTCAAAAATAAAAGCTATTAAGAATTTCCCACCCCACCGCCCAACACCGCCAAGAAACTTTCTTCCTTCCTTGGGTTATGTTCTTACTATCGATCTTTCATAAAAGATTTCGCTAATATTGTTGAACCACTCTTAGTAATCAAAAGAAAAAAGGGTAAATTTACGTGGACAGCGGAAGCTAACACAGCTTTTGAAAGATTAAAAGAAGCGCTTATTAATGCCCCTGTTTTAAAATTCCCGGAGGGGGACGAAAACCTGGAAATTGCAGCAGATGCGTCAGACTATGCGGTGGGGTGCGGTTCTTATGCAAAATAACCATCCTCTGGCATTTTTTTAGTAAAACATTGAATCAGACACAAAGGAATTATACAGCTACAGAAAGAGAAACATTAGCCGTATTAATGGCTGTACACAAATTTCGAGTTTATTTCGGCAAATCGCCAGTAACAGTCTTTTCGGATCATGCGGCTGTTGGTAGACTTTACTCGGGGAAAAACCTAACGCCCAGGTTAATAAGATGGGCTTTAAAACTCCAAGAATATAATATCACAATAAAATATAAACCGGGTAAGGAAAACAATGTAGCTGACGCACTTTCTCGTATAAAACTGGACGATGAAGGAAATGAACTTAAATGCGCTGTGTTGACTTCAAAAATTTTAGATTCTAGAGATACGGTTATTACTGAACTGAAAGCTGATCCTGAATTTGGAAATATCTATGCTTATTTGAAAGACCCCGAAAGCTTTGAGCACACAGATATCGATGCGATAAGAAATAGAGCAAAAAACTATGAAATAATAGATAATTTAATTTATTATTTTATACGAAAACAACAAACGAAAATCTTGAGTATAAGCCAGTCATCCCAGCCTCGCTTCGATTAAGCATTTTGAAGGAGTTGCACGAAGCAAAAACAGCGGGCCACCTAGGGGTCAGAAAGACTTTAAAAAGGGTACGCGAGGCGGTATATTTCCCGCAATTATACAAAATAGTAACGGCGTATGTCAGGTCCTGCAATCAATGTCAGTTAATAAATGATATTAATTACAGCCCGGCCGGGTACTTAAATAGCATTCGCGCTACATTTCCGAATGAAATTTTAGGCATAGATCTTCTTGGTCCCTTCCCCCAGAGCGAGTTAAATAAAAATCGTTTTCTTTTAGTAATAGTAGATCATTTTTCAAAATGGACAGAAATTGTTCCACTTAAACGCGCGTCAGCCAAAACAGTCGCAGATGCATTCTTACACAGATACATTTTAAAATACGGTGCACCGATAAAAGTCATTAGCGATAACGGAAAACAATTCATTAGTCAAATATTTGAAAACATATGCAATGGACTTGGCATACGCCATATCAAAATGGTTCCGTATAGACCACAGGCTAACATAGCAGAAAGAGTTAATAAAAACATAGTAAAAATAATTCGCAGTTACGTGAGCACACATCACAAGCGCTGGGATGGCTACATAAATGAATTAGCTTATGCTTTAAGAACGGCAAATCATGATACTACGGGAAAAACTCCAGCAGAATTATTTTTAGGCTAGGCCGAAAATTAATTACGCCTTTAGATAAATTATTCTTTGTGCAACAAAGAGAGCAGGAGTTTAAACAAAAAGATGTGCAAAAGCTGATTGATCAGGCGCTTAAAAAACCTCGGATACGGCAAGAAATAGGCAGAAAATATATTATGATAGAAAACGCCGTGAAGCAGATTTTAAAGTTGGGGATAAAGTATTGAAGCGGAAATTTTCTTTATCAAGTGCCCCAGACAATTTTACGGCAAAGCTAGCTCCAAAGTTTGAAGGCCCCTATGTAATTCAGGAAATCAAAGGAGTAGTATTATATCTTAAGAACGAGAGAGGGGAAATCTGTAAAGCAAGTCCCGACCAGGTGAAAAAATACTATAATCCAAATGATTTTGAAATCCTTAAAAGTTTCTTGCAGGACTCAAGTCTAAACGAAATAGAAGGTCCAGAGACAACAACTATTCCACCACCCAAGAAACAGAGAACTGAAGAGAGACCTAGCCCTTCTACAACCCGGACGTCGGTATCAAAAAGAAAAAATAATTTTCAAACTCCAGCGTTTAAGAAAAACAAAAATACAGATGCACCGGGTAAAGAAACCGTGGTAAAGAGAAAAACACCACCTACAAAGGATTGCAGGAGAAATTATACATCAAGGAGAACGCGCACACGGCCACAGAGTCAGGTGCCAGCAAGGCCGCCGTTCCGGAAACTGAAACGGCAACAGGAGGCACAAAAATACGAGGAACAGAAGAAATTCAAGAAGGACTCCAGACCGGAGGACGTCAAGACCAGCCGTCCCAGGGAAAACGGAAATGCCAACAACCAGACGATTACTCCGCCAAGAGGCCAGCATGTAGAGGACGCAAAAGAAAAAGTAATGTGGACGACACTCGGAGGGCAGTAAGGAGAAGATTAACATCCATGAAACCTCTAACTTGGGACCAATTTTGCCAAAAACGAATGACGGAGTTTCAAGCATCGAAAACTCAAAGATAAGTTAAAACCTTCTATAATTTTTTTTTCTCTTTTGTTCCGAAATGTTATGCATAAGTACGAAGTTCTATGTTTTGACGAAAGTCAATATGTCTCGGTTGAGACTTAGTTTTTTGTTTTACTTTATTTAGCTAAGGCAAAAGTATATTATTTTCTTTAAGTGTAAAAGCTAAAAACAAGCATTTTCTGTTGGTCGAAAGACTAATTCTGTTATGTTAAAGCCAAAATTTGGCCGAAGATAAAAAAATAACTTCGTATTCTTGTATTAATAAGAATTTTAGTTTCAGTGCCGCCAGCTTGGCGAAGAATGAGTAAAGTAAAAGTAAAAATTTATTTTCTCTTATTCATTTTATGGTAAATTGTAAAAATCATATGTATTAAAATTTTTTGTAAATGTGAATGTTATGTAAAAGTAGAATTTAGTCTAGAAGCATAAAATTGTAGATGCTAAAAGTGAATGCTTAAAAGCAATGAAGTCAAAATTTAAGTATTAAATTGTAGATAAAGTCATGCTTTAGAGCGAAAGCCTGCATGTTTAAAGATGAATGAGGGGGAAGTTAGAATGAATGTGTTTTTGTAGGGTTCTCCACCTACATTTGAATTTTTAAGAATATTAAAGTAGCTCATTGAGTTGTAGAATGTCGAGTAAGGTGTGTCTATTTGGTCGTTGAATTCTAACAAATCATGGTGGTTAGGGGAAGTGTTGTAAGACTAAAACACGAATATTCCCGTTTGACACCACACACGGTGGAGAGCCAGGGTAAAGTTAAATTAATGCTTGAAAAATTGAATGAATGTGAAGTAAGCAATAACTAAGAAAAACGAATCGTTTAAAAACAAAAATTTATTGTGTCAAGAAAGTGTAAATTATAATGTATTTAGAAAGATACTGATACTTATTCCTTCCAGATGCTGGAAGGAAAGACCAAGATTGATTGATGAAGTCCAGGAAAAGTTGCTGTAAGAAGAGAGCTTTATAACGATCAACAGAATTTTAGTATACAATTTGTTACATAAGATTTTTTTTGTGTGTAAACGAGGTTCTCGCCAGTTAGTTCAGAATTAGAGAATTAGAGAAACTTACAACAGGTCGTTTGTAGGACCTGCTTCCAAGTTTTCCAAATTCTGGCAGCGGCAAATGTAGGGTTTATATTTATTTTTTTAACTAACATTTATTTTAAGTTTAAACTATCTTTCCTGTCAAGCCTTACTTTCCCCTGGAACTGCCAATGCCAGAATATGTAAATTTTAGTAGAACGCGCAAGGATTCAAATTATCAGCGGAAGTATTATGATTTAAATAGGAAGGAAACGAGTTCGGTGTGATATTCTTACTTCACGAGCGCGGAGGTAGTTAGCGAGAAATTGAAGAACCCCGCGTTTCGGCCTATGTGCTTGGCGGGAAGTAGTGTTAATCGTTCAAGTGAGCTTCAAGTCTGCTGAATTAGCAGCGGTATTGTAAAACGCGGTGAGTTAGTTATTTTACAGAGCCTCGTAGTTAGAGTCTTGTCTTTAGTTTCTTTTCAGGTTATTATTATTTTTATTTGACCGCCGAGTTGGCGCAGTCTGTGAGCGTCAAGAGCACGCAATTGTAATTTATTACGTTGAATAAAAAGGGACTTAAACCCTTCACAAGACTCTGTGTTTTTCCACACACCCTCTTGGTTGCGTGCAAGTTGGAGGCGCGCAACGTTACAATTTAATGAGAAATACGGAATCGTTTGTGATACTTTTTTTTGATTGTTTGTTTGTTGAATTCTTTTATACATCGTTTAAGATTTATTTTAGTATTTTAATAGAACACGTGGCAACGATTAAATAATTCTTCAAATGATATAAATTTGTGCATGGTGAGTTATAAAATGAATAAAATGTAACGCTGTTAAGTAACCTAGGACCAGAGTGTCGCTATGGTAATCAAATGTAGTGAATTTTAAAGAGTGCGTCTATTCTGTTGTGGTTTATGCGCTATCGACGAAGTGGATTTACTTCAATCCAATAAGTTTAAATAAAATGCAAGAAAAAATTCGTATAATTTAATATTTCGTACAAGGAAGGCATGTGGTGTACACACCAGACTTTTATATCTTACATACACACAATAATGGAAAAGGGGCTTGAAAGGAAGTTAAACTCACCCGCAATTTTCTTTCCGCATATGACATTCGCTAGGGTACACTTTCCCATCACTGCCACATACAGGACTGTAAAGTGGACAAGCATCCGGGCAATCACCTTTCCTTTTGCTTTTTGTGTAGTCTTCTGGGATCTCTGGTTGGCCCTTTCTCTCCTCTAGTGTCATGCTTTGGAGATTCTCTTCCTTTGGAATATAGAGCTGAGGAAAAAGAACGTGCATTCCAGCTTCTACGATCAACCCCTCTAGGAAGTGCTGCTCTCTGGAAGTTTGAATCGGGATGTAGTCCTGGAAGATTTCCTCTTCACTCTCTTTCTGCTGAGTATCCTCGACGGTGTACTCTGGTCCGAAAGCAGTTTCGTCCAGTTGTCCTGGGGGAATGATAAATACATTTGTAGAAGTTACAGGCGAAAACAATGCAGTCACGGGACAATGAAAACAATGAATAACGTGCTCTAAATAGAGGACTGTCAGTTTAACACGTTCACGCCGGCGCGGGACACCGCTGGCCAGCACTAGTCCTTCTCGTCGGGCGGCGCGTACCACCGGTGGCGGCCCGCACTAGTCTGTCTTATCGGGTGGCGCGTGCCACCGATGGTACGCATTCGATTGTGTTATTAGACGCTGAAAATTAAAATAATGAAAAATTAACGTTTATTTATTATAAAATTTTTTTAATAACAATTATAATTAATAACTATTAGCATACGTACAACACGTATACAGGTTCGAATAGATAATAATCGCGCGCCCACAGATGAAACATGGCACAAATTCGAGCGCCGTCTCACGTCGAAGAACATAAAAATTGGCTTCGGCGTGAACGTGTTAGATTCTGAGAACCTGTGCCAAATTTGAATTATATCGCTAGGAGATGCCGCGTTCACTTCACATTGCAAGCTATTTTACTGAATATTTTACTCTGATCAGTCTGATCTATACTGTACACTACAAAAAATAAATAAATAAATAAATTATCTGAAAGGTTTCAGATTTTAAATTATGTCCGATAATAAAACAAATTCCAAATTTCAAATTTGGGCTTTCAGATGCCCGTATTCGCAGTAGGATTACGTCATTCAAAATTGGATGGCTCTAGGTACCGTTGTTTTATCAGAAAGCGAGAAACATACATACATTCATGCAGATTCTTCATTTATTGATTATTTAATTTCCTCAAATATAATACAAAGTGATAGTATTTGGTGGCAACGATTTGAAAAGTGATATGCCGTTTATAGGGTTCCGACGTAAAATCGCAAAACGAAAACAATAGCCCTTCAGGGACAAAGCCCCTTTAGACTAAAAATGAGACTATTCAGAAAAGGTTCTTTATTTTCTCACCCTTGACAAGTACATTGCGCAGGGAAAAAAAAAAAAAAAAAAAGGCGACAGTTAAATCTCCCGTTCTTCTACTGGGCCGATTGATGAAATTCAACTTGCGTTTTTCATGTCTCGATCCATTAGATTTATACTATATAACGTTGTTCTAATATAGGTATTTTGACAGAAAATCGGACTTTTTCTGAAATGTGAAATGGCATTCCCATTTGTTTTCCATATTTCGATTCTACGACTCAAATTATATCAAGCTGCCAAGTTTTGTAAAAATCGCATAAGTTGTTTTTAAAAAAAATTTAGCTTCTCGGTGTTAATTCATTTCGTATACATTATTAATGTCTCTTTTTGTATTAAACCTTTTTTATTCTTCCTTTCAAGTTTCGAAATTTAGGTTCATTTCAAATGAAAGTCACCCACTTTTTATGATTTATCTTTAAAATTTGCATTTTTAAATAAATTTTATAAATATTTCGAAAAACATTTAAAATTACAACCTATAGAGTTTTTACCATCACCTTAAACAGATGTATTTCGAAGAATAGCTACAAAATATTAGAGTTTTTGTAATTCGAAATTTTCTAAGATATACGTGAATTTACATATTGACGCGTTTTAAAATTTAACATATATCTTATAAGCGATAATAATGCAAAATGTGGCTTACGCTTTTTCTTAAAACTGTTTGAAAATATGAACGATGACTTTTTTCCGCTCGTCTATAATGAAAAAAATCTGATGTGCACACCACATGACTTCCTTGCACGGAATATTAAATTAGACGCATTTTTTCTTGCATTTCATTTAAACGTATTGGATTGAATTAAATCTACTTCGTCGATAGCGCATAAAACACAACAAAATATATGCATGCTTTAAAATTCACTACATTTGATTACCATAGCTATACTCTGGTCCTAGGTTACTTAACAGCGTTACATTTTATCCATTTTATAACTCAGTATGCACAAATTTATATCATTTGAAGAATTATTTAATCGTTGCCACATGTTCTATTCAAATACTGTAATAAATCTAAAACGATGTATAAAAGAAATTAAGCAAACAAAAAAGAAACAGTTTTTTTACAGACGACTCAGTATTTCTCATTCAATTAATTCAGTTCTCACTTGCCGACAAGGCAAAAATGCATAAAAAAGCTCAAAATATCGATATTAAAAATTACGAAGTAAATCTTAAACACTTATTTCCTTGAATAAATTCCGAATTAAACATGATTTAATTCGCAATAATAAGAGAAGGCGTTATGTTTGTTGTTGCGAAGCTTGTTTGTTGTTGCTTTCTCTAGATTGGCAACAAATCCGCTATTTTGCCCGCTATTTTTCCAAGTTTGAAATATAATGAACATGTCCGCCATAGCAAAATTCATTAGGCTTAGCGACAGTTAAACAACTTTTAAATTGTTGATAACTCCACAAATATTGCATGCAGATTTACTACAGGCATAAAATCTTAACTGGAAGATAAGAACAACATAATTCAATCATTTGTAAAGCAGAAAATGCGCAACTTACAAACATATAAGAGTAAGGAATCTGAGATTACTGAGCCGGTTAACAGAGTGGATATATATATATATATATATATATGCATATATTTATGTACTCTTGGTGTGGCGGATTGCAACGAAACTACGAGGTGCACATCTACATGTTATAGGAGCACTATATACAAAATTTCAACATTCTGAGGCTATTCGTTTTTGAGTTATGCGACATAAGTACGTACATACGTACCTACGCACAGACGCCACGAAAGAATTTTTTCAGAATTCTTCATTTTAAATCAGTTTTATAATTTTTTTGGAGAAAAAGAGTCTTTTATTCTAACCTTACGTACAGATGTCACGCAAAAACATGGTTAAATTGCATTCAATAGCGGTCAAATGGATATTTTCTTTGAAATATGATGCCTGAAAATTTGGCCCATTATAATACTTCCTTTTTTCTTTGTACAAGGAAGTAAAAAGGAAAGGAAAATAGTTTGGTATAAATTAAGAAGTTCTCCAAGTGAATTATTCTTGGTTCAAAATGAAATAAGTACGCTTAATAAATTTTTGAATTTCTCCATAAATATCTCACCAAATTTTAAAAAATTTAATTTCAGGCATAAATTGAATCGTAGAATCGAAATATGGGAAAAAAATGGTATGCCATTTCAGAAAAAGTCCAATTTTATGTCAAAATACCTATATTAGAACAACGCTATGTATACATGTATATAAATCTAATATATATTCTTAGTAGCGCTTTCCAGATATGAAAAACTGAATTTGAATTTGGTCAATCGGCCCAGTAGAACAAAAGATATAGAACTGTTCATTTTTTTAGTCCAAAGGGGCAATTTGCCCTGAAGGATTATTATTTTCGTTTTGGCATTTTGAGCTGAAAACTTTAAATTGTTGCCACCGAATATTAGAGCCCTGTATTATATTTAAAGAAATTAAATAATGAAGAATCAGGATAAATGTATGTATGTTTCTCGCATTGTGTTAAAACAACGCGACCTAGAGCCATGCAATTTTGAATAACGTACGCTTTCATACGAATATGGGCATCTGGAAGCCCAAATTTAGAATTTGTTTTATTATTTATTTCATATTTTGTAAAACTTTAACGATTAACAAACTCAACTATTTAAGAGTGAGCAATGCCAACACTCCGTGAGGGAAAAAAAAACCTTTTTTATCTCCAGCGCGCGGAACTGTGTACCGGAAATTCTGAAGAAAGGTTAATTTAAAATTATTTGCTATATGCTGTGAACTGATTTATGCTAAGGCAAGACATGCATTTAATAAATAATGGTAACAAAAAAAAAAAAAAAAAAAAAAAAAAAAAAAAAAAATCTGAAATGTTTCAGATTTTAAATTACGTCCAAAGGGGCGTTTTTTTTTTAACATTTTGTATGTGTTACTTTCTTTATTAAATATCATGTTCTTCGCACTTAAACCATAAAATTCAGCTTCAGTGCAATTAACAGCAATATCGCAAAATAATTTTAAAACGAGCATATCTTTAGAATTTCCGATACAGAGACTCACGCGCTGGAGATAAAAATGTTTTTTCTGCACAACGTTGCCATTGCTCGCTTTGAAATCCTTGAGTTTGTTAATCAAAAATTCGTCAAAGTTTTAAAAAATAGGAAATCGATAATAAAACAAATTTCAAATTTGGTCTTCCACATGCTCATATTCGTTGGAGGATTACGTTATTCAAAATTCGATGACTCTATGTACCGTTATTTTATGACAATGCGAGAAATATACATACATTTATGCAGATTTTTCATTATTTAATTTCTTCAAATATAATGCAGGACTCTAACCTTTTGTGGCAACACTTTGAAAAGTGAACCGACATTTATGAGTCCGACGCAAAATGCCAAAACGAAACTAATAGTCCTTCGGGATTCAAATCCCTTTGGACTAAAAAAAAAAAAAAAAAAAAAAAAAAAAAAAACCCTTTCGGACGTAATTAAAATCTGAACCTCATTTTTTGGCGCAATATGTAACATACATAATATTGGTCTATTCCTAGGGATGTTATATGTTTAATTCTAGGGGCTTAATTTTATATATGTTACGAATTTGGTATTAAAAAGCTAATGTTAGTTCAATTACAAATTAAATGGCTTTTATTTCTCGCGCAGTGCAGCGCGTGACGAATATTAAAAGAAAGCTAAGCCGGAAAAATTAAAAATACAAGAGCGCGTGCGTTGAATAAATAAATATCTCTTTTTGATTTCGAGAAAGTACTGGAAAATTCTAGCGCGTGATTTTAAAAGCTTATAAAAGGAGGAAAACATCTCAGTTTGTGGTAGTTGCTTAGTTTGTTGTTGTTTAGAAAACTGCCGTTGTTGATTGTAGCGAATTCGCGGATTAGCGTTCTTTAGCTGTTTTGAATTACGTTCTATTGTACATTTAAGTAGTTAAAAGATAACTACTGTGAGATATTGTGATACTGCATGATAATTTGAGAAAATTTAAGCATTTCTGTTGTGATAATAATAAATT